AAACATGGCCTCTCAGTTTTGAAATATTCCCCCCAAAAAACTTTATTAACTTTCTATTGAAACTCATTGTGCAAAAAGTTTAATTAGTGTAGGTCAAACATTTATGAGAGGAGACAATGTTACACCGGTTACAAGTCACTATCGATCCCCAAAAGAGTAAATTGTATGTAAAAACAAAGCAGAAATTTTCCAAAGACATCAATTCTTTCGCTTCAAAAGTAGACAAACGTTAAATAGTCGAAGTAAATGGACAATGTTTTTGCACAACGAGAAATAATTTTTACTCACAGATTGACCCTTGACGAAAGCTATAGTTGTCCGTCGAGACCTACGGTCTTGTACATGTATCTGAAGACATGATATACGATTAAATATAGATCGGCGCCATCTTTTACAGCAGACTTTAAAAGAAAAACTTCGCCGTCGAAATTATCCCTAAAGAAGAACAAGGTTGAAAAAGTATCCGGAAGTAGGCTAACATTTGAAGATCTGCAAACAGTGTACAGCAGATTAGGAAATGAAGGGCTTATTGCGATCCTTGCACAACCACCGTCTTCATCGCCGACGATCGCCATCCTCACGAGTGACCACCACGCTTCGAATTTTAGCTACAATAGTCAAGTACTTCGAAGAAAACATCCTGTGTTAGGTATAAAATTGAATCCGCTATCTCTCCTTTTTCAACTGGAGAGATATCACCGTAATGATACTGATAAACGGCTTCAAAAAAATGGCTTTCGTACTCTTCAAAGAAACCACATGTTTTCAGTAGCTTTGTGCATTATGCGCATGCGGGCGTGACGGCTCGCGCGCGTATTTTGCCCACACGACCCCGAACCACGCGTGTTTTTCGGATTTTTGTGACGTCAGCGCAGTTAATTAACCGTGAATTTCTCGCGTTTCCTTCGGTAAATTATTTTTAAAATCGCCTCATTTCTTAACAGTGGTGTTACCTTTGTACTGTCATTTTTTTGTCAAAATCTGTAAGAGCTAAACTCCTCTATTAAGAAAAATTACAAATTTCAAAATATTGGCAAAACCGTCTTAACGACCCCACGTTTTTTCCACTTTAAAATGTTAAGCAATATCGTTAATATGAAGAGGCAAAGTTTAAAGACATTTCACCGCGGGAAATTAGAACTATCAAGGAAAAATGGGCAAAAATGACAAAATTACTGCCTCTTTAAGGATGCGATGTTTCCATGGCGACGGCCTTAATATAGAAAATGAAACTTGATAAAGGAGCCTTCTTATATGGGTAACCTTAGCGGTGAATCTCGTGAACAAAATCGCAAAGACAAAGTAACTAGATTTCCTTCTGTAACGTATGCTTGATAGCTCGGATTATTAGTAAATCCCCTAGGGAGCCACCTTAAGCTAAATTTTAAGGGACCAATTTGCGGATAAAGTATTTTAAAAACAAATAAAAAAGGAATAAAAGTGCTACTAGCTACGATAAGAAAATCACTTCTTTTGACTTTCAAGTTTCTAATGAATGTATGTTTGCGAGGCAGGATGTGTAGGAAAACACTAACCTGTTTGTTCATCTAGTTTCTATCCCGATCGACTTGCAATTACGCAATAGGATCGAGAAGCCAAAACATCTGCAAAGGTCACAGGCGTTCCTCGTATTATAGCCGGCAAAGCTGGCATATTTTGCATTGAATTAGGGCAAGTCAAAAGATTAATCCAAGAACGAGGTTGACGGGTCAATTGCTTTCAAGATGGCGGCCGCGGTACCTGTAAGCTTTCGTTTAAAAAAACGCCAAGCTACTCGTATTTTATTCAGAGGGATTCGATTTACCATTAAGAGTAAACAGCTTTGAAAATGTTTTGCGCGCAAGCAATTATTTGTTGACAAATGTCCCAATTAAAACTGTGGTTCCAAAAGTAAAAGGGATAAAGCAAATATCCAAAGAAGAAAATTAAAATTAAATCAACTAAATATAAATAAAAACAAAAAAAACATGGGAAAACAATCTCGTTCCCAGATCTCTAGTCAACGAAGCCGACAAATGATCTGCGTAAGAGATAAGACGGAAAAATGAGCACATCTGCGCAAAGCCTAGCAGGAGAGAGAGTATGGTATTTCGGAGAGAAGATACGTTGAAAGCAACAAAATGCAGTGCCGGATCCAGCACTTGAGATATGGGGGGCCCCCGGTCATCTAGACCCTTAGATAAGCGGGGGGGGGAGCGGTCTCCAAAAAATGTTTTTTTAACCCTTTGGGCCTGAGTTTGGTCTAAAAATAAAGAGGGGGTCGCCCCTTGGATGTACGTGTCTGTGGTCGCTTTATCGTCCATGGGGTTCTCGATCGCCAACGGCAGCGACGTCCTCCATTTAAATTTAAGAAATTGGTCGGCCAAAAATGGAAAGCGGACAAAATGGGACAACAGTACAAGTTTCTTCACCAGAGTAAAGCCTTTACTTTATTTCTGGATAGACTACATTACAGCAAAAACAAAGAACCAACTATTTAGGCAGAATCCTGCACAAACACAAGGAAGTGTAACAATTTCCAACGAGAAAAAAACTTCTTGTAATCAAGAGCTGAGAATTGTGAACCATTCCATTCCCTTGGGAGCTAGCTATAATTCAAGAATAATTCAAACTTTCGTTGAGTGAAATACTTGAAAAAAAAAGCACAATAAAAGGTCATACTTGAGAGGTTCTGATTGGAAAGTGAAACACTACGATTTGTCTCACAGACTCAAAACCTAGCACACCTTATTACTAACATCTCACCACAAGTCCATTTAAAAGGACAATAGCTCACTCCGGAAAAGAGTGATAGCCTGGGACCCAAACTAAGCGCGCGAACATTTATGGGATTTTTGGGGGACAAGTCGAGCATTCACCTTGAATTATGACGAGACATGCAACTTGTTGTGTGCCTTTGTGTACAAATAACTTCAGCAACTCCCCTGAAACATTCCACTTCGCTTTCCGCCATGTTCGTTTACATTCGCGTCCCCCCAAATAATCCCATAAATGGGTGCCCGCATAGTTTCGGTCCCAGGCTATCACTCTTTTCCGAAGTGAGCTATTGTATCAAACCAGATGAAGAACACTTCCAAGTGTTTGATATTGCTTCTAAAGCTATTCAAAAGCACAACTTTACATTACATTACATTTTTGTTTTATTGTGGTGGAACCACATATGTAAATAACCCACACACTTAAATTACCTATGATTGTCTCCAAAGGCGATCCTTATCTTATTTACCAAAGTGTACCGGTCTTTTTTTTTAGAGATTTTAGAAAATTAATAAGAACCTGTTTCAAATTTTAAACTAAACAGGTTCTTGTATAGAGGGCGATTAAATGGAAAATTTTAGCCAAACAGGTTTTTACACTTCCAGGTTCTTTGTCGTGGGTTTTAACTGTATCATATACTTAAAGATTTTTTTCCGTTTTTTTGTTTTCATAAGTAAATACAGGTTGGTATAAAAATGTCAAAATGTACTACACTGGGAAGGCTACTTCCAATCCCAGCTTAGGGCGCTTTCCATTTGTCAGGACTGGCCAGCTGGACGTTTGCTGAACCTGTCGTTTTAAAAATGAAATAGGCTTTTTCCAATACTTTTGCTGAAGAACTATCCCTTTCATGCATACTATTTAGGATTTGACTGATCTAGCTGGATAGTTTAGACTGAAAGTGAAATCCTCATTACCATGGGAATGGTCTGGCCAGTCAGTTTTGACAAATGAAAAGCCACCTAAGACTGACAGGGATAAAAACTATCGACCAAAAAGGCATGTGAATTGAAACTGCATACTACTAGTGAGAAAAATAAATACAGTTCAGCATAAAAAAAAACATCAAGTTGTTCTAGACTGGGAAGGCTTCTTTCAAGCCAACTGTCGAAAAAAAAAGGTGTGTGGTCCTAAGATCAGAATAAGCCACTAACTGAACAATAACATCAATCAAATAATATCAGAAACTCTCTGATATTAGTAAAATCCAACTAGTGGTCTATTATCAATGCTGCATTCTGATTGGCTACTTCTAGGCTATATGTTATAACCCCCTAGTAGCCTAATTCCAATTTTTCAATTTGATCCACATCGTCACACCGTAAGGGCACTATAGGCTTGTCAAAATAGTCTTCGATTTTCTTTATAATCGTCGTAGACTGCTGACCATCAATGAAGTTGACGGCAATGCTGTTCTTGCCAAACCAGCCAGTCTTGCTGATCCTGTGTAAGTATCTTTTGTATTCAGGTTCACCCGAGGGCCCAACTGGCATATCGTAATTAACTACGATGGTAACCTATAGCAACAAAACAAAAAATAAAACAACACTGTATTACTAAGGGCACTGGCTCCACTAGGGAATGGGGGGGGGGGGTGGCTATGTAACGAGCGAATCTCTTCTGTGCTCAAGTCATTACGTAGTTTCTTAATCCATAGGAAAAATTTTCAAACAAATTTCATCAGTGAGCACTGAAAATAATAACCTTTTGGTAGTTTTTGCAGGCATAGAATCAAAATTTGAAAACCTGGCCCAATCACTATGGTCTAAGATAAGGTAAGTTAAGGAGCATATTATATACCATACATCCCTACCCAAATTTTTAGGGAGTAATGTACAGTACCTACCCTGGCTCTTACTTGGAAACAGGGCAAAGAAAAGGAGAAAAAGCGCAAGCTGACGGGAGAAGATAGGAAAGGGGAGAGACCCTGGTTCTCTGTTTGGAACAGGGTAAACAGAAGGAGAAAAAGGGTAAGCCTATGGGAAAGGGAAAGGAGGGGGGGAGCCAATGATCCTCCCGTTCTTTCCACGCGCCACCTGGTTAGCTCAGTTGGGAGAGTGCCGGTCTGTCGAGTGGAGCGTTGCGGGTTCAAACCAGACCAACACGCAGGGTCTTTAAATAACTGAGAAGAAAGTGCTACCTTTGTAATGACATCTGCAAATGTTTGGACTTTCTAGTCTTCTCAGATAACGACGAAAAACCATAGGTTCTGTCTCAAAGCACTTTCACTGATCTGTTCATGTGGGATGTAAAAGAACCCACAAAACTATTCAAAAAAAGTAGGTGACGTAGACCCCGGTGGTGTGGCCAACCTTTACGGGTTGTGGGATTGGGTAGGGATGGCACCTTGCATAGGACCTATGAGTCCCGTTCGTGTCCATTCCCTCTGGGCAGGCCTGTGCTCAGAAAAGCTGGTAAAACAAAATAATACAAAACAAAACCCCAGGACCTTTAGGGTCTTGAGTAATACTTATGGAAGCCAACGCGTACTTACCTGTTCCACATCAATGCCTCTAGCACTGACACCAGCTACTATCAGCAGTTTCTCCTTGCCATCGCGGAATCTGTCAAATACTGCTAGCCACTCTTCTACTGTGGTTTTGTCTGACAACAGCGCTACCAAATGACCATTCTCTGTCATCTTCTCTGCCAGCCAAGAGGCAGATTTCCAAGTCTGAAATGACACAGGCATACATAAAAGTCAAAACATCCTGGGGTTGAGAAAATTTTCTGAATAGCAACTAAAATTTAGGCTGCTTTGCAGTCATTTACTGGGGCGAGGAAGGATTTGGATGGGAATCAGGGAAAAGGAAAAAGGAAGGGGAGGGAAGGACAGGGTGTCCAGCAGCATGGTTGCTCCAAAAAATAGGAAAATAGGAAACTCAGGATTGAGAAAATAGGAAAAATAGGAAACTTTGTATTAAAAAATAGGAGAAAAATAGGAAAATCATTAGTACTTTTGTCGACAAAGATAGCCTCCCTACACCCCATCACGGTTATAACAAAGGCTACAAGTCCTCAGATTCTATGTTCTCAGGATTTAGATCAACTTTCGCCACTAAGAAGGGGTGAAAATGATCAGTTTCTTGGCTCAGTTACGCTGTAATCAGAGTGATATGCTTGACCACAGGTTAAGCGTGGTTCTGTAATCAAAGGTGATAATATGAAAATTCCCTTCAAGTTGACGGCAAATCTTTGAAAAGCTTTGAAGAGTGACATTTCTTAGGATAGAAATTCCTTACGATTGAGTTGTCATTGAAGAATAGTTGTCCAGTACTTGAGCTGGTTGAGAATATACTTGTTTGAGAAAAGACTGCAAAATTTTAAGTACAGAACAGGGCTTTCTGCGGTGTATGCAAAATGACACTGATCTATTTGTTACCAGATTGTAAGTGTGTCATGGTAAGTTCTAAGAAGAACATAACACTCTGCTTAGCTGTGACTGCAAGATGGGTTTCGGAACCAAAATATTAGATCCTTCATCTGTTGCTTAGGTATAGCTGTTAACAAGGGCTCACCAAGAGAGCTAGTGACGTTAACTAAACTTTAGTCTGTTCTTTTCATGTATCATCCAGAATAAGCTAGTGACTGGTTTTAAAAACGAGAAGCTGATCGGATAATATTTATCTGGCCTGTGTTGTGATCATGAGAGGACATCTTGATCCTGTTTTCAGTTTCAAAGATGAACATAAAAGCAAGCAAGACTTCAAAATAAAATATAATATGTACAGATGATACTGAAATGCAGTTTCAGTGGGCTATACACAATATTATTCAATAGTCATGAGGACTATGACACTTCATACAACACATGTAGGTGCACTAGAAAATTATACTAAAAGTAACAATATAAGGAAAAATGTCAACAGAACTCTAATAGGCAGTAGAGGTCATGGAAAGAACAAACGCAACTGTCATTTTTACTAATATTAGAACATCAAAGTCAACATAATACTTGTTTTATGATAATTTCACTCAAAAACACATACAAATACAATTCCATTTTCAATTTTGTTACAAATTTTGGCTTCACCAGCTAAAAAAATAGGAGGTTTTAGTTTAAAAATAGGAGAAAATAGGAATAGGCTCAAAAAATAGGAAAAAATAGGAAAAAATAGGGACTGAACACCCTGGAAGGAATTTTTTTTAACACTTACGTGACAGAAAACGATACCCTGTCCAATAGACACAGCGCCATATATGTTGGAGAGTGCCTTGAACTTATCCTCTTTGTCATGACACACCACATAGTACTGCTTGATATTGTCCAGGCTTTCCTCTTCCCTACACAGCCCAACGATGACAGGGTCTGGTACTACTGTCTTGGCAAATTTCATCACCTCGTCGTCGTAGGTTGCAGAAAACAGAAGCATTTGGCAATCTTTAGGCAGGGTCCTAAAGCAGAGGAAATACATTATTTCTTAAGTTCAGTATTCACATTGCAACTAAAGTGGGGCAACAAAGCCAACCTTCCATGGACTATCTGCCCTTGGAACCTGTCACACTAGTCTCTCAGTGGAGAATACTGAAGATCAAAAAAGACAAGTTAACCGAATGGAGTTCCCTCCAAGGAACAAAAGAGGTAGGTGGGTAGAAGGAAACAAACAAAAGGGAAAAGAGTGGTAAAGCTATTCGAAGCGAAACCAGAAGACAAACCTCTGTGGAAATGATGCAAACGCATATGTCCAAGGTGATCATTTGCTGGCCAACAGAAAATCTCCTAGTAACTATGATTATTTATAATCGCATTGAAAGGACGTATTAGAGATTTTTTTGGCCAGTTTGATCCGTAAGTATGACGAAAGGGTAGTAGCCTTACCTGTATATTCTAATGGACTGATCCTGGTGTCCCTGTAACGCTATCATGACATCAGCATCATCTAACACAAACATCTTTATTTTTTTGGGGTCCAGCACTTTTCTATGCAGAATCCAGTCTAGTAGAGTTCCAGGTGTAGCAAAAATTACATGATCTGTAACTTTCTGACCTTTTGACACTGTAGAAAGGAGAAAGAGAGGGGATTAAGAACATTAAAGGCTGTTTATGGAATATACAATAATCATTTTCTTCAGCGACAAAATAAAAACAATGCTAAGCCGTATCTATAGGCCTTAACCAGGGTGCAAAGAAAGCGGGCTTAAAAGCCTGCCATTTACGTAAGCTGTAGCTAGCCCTAAAGTCATTTCAACTTGCACGGAAAAAAATTTTTGTTGAGAAGGATTGATTACAGTTCCTCTGTAATAATTTTTTTAACAACTCCCTATAAAACTTAAGTTAAGACAAGAATTCACTAGCCATTTAGCAAACTCCACTTATAGCCCCGGGCTAACTTAGATTACTTTCTTTGCAAGCTGCTTAATGCAACCCCCCACCCCGCTGGCCTGTTTCTGGGGACGAGTAGACAAGTGCACTCTTATGGCAAACTACAGTTTGAGAATGATGCTTGTACCAAAGATTGAATTAAACCCTTAAGGATACCAATTGAGGAAAGGCTCAAGCTTTTTATGACCACAGCCCCAAACAAGACCTAAGAGGCTAAAAATATTGGCAAAAAATCCAAAATTTACACCCCTGAGCGAGACAGGATGGTATTCCCCCCTCACCCTCAGGCCTATGCCTTGCACAAAATTATTTTTCCTGGCTCAAGTTTCTCACCTCTCTTCCCCCTCACTGCATAACCAATCTTGACTTCAGGACACAATTTGCCCATCTTTTCTGCCACTTGTCCTGTTTGTAGAGCACGCTCATATGTAGGTGAAATACAGATAACCTTGATAAAAGCACAACAAAATCAGTTCATTGCAACAATTCAGCTTTATGTGAACAAATTATTCATCATCTAACACTTCATGTTTTTTCCTGATGTAACTCTTTCACTACAAGAGAGGAAGATGGAATTTTTAAGTGCTTTCTACTTTCGAGTCTTAAGACGAAATCCTACAGTCTGACCAATCACCATTCAAATGACACCAATTATTGGCAGTAGACCAAAAGCAGTTTCTTTTTTTTTCTCAGTCTGTTGGGTGAAACAAACAAGACATGAAAATGATGCCATAATGCTTACACCTTATTTTACCATTTCACACTTTGCAAGTACCTCAACAAATCTATGTTTTTTTGCACGTTGTGCAGGAGGAAGGAACATACAAGAAGTAAAACAAAATAATACCTGAGGGACGTTTTTTGTTGCATCTACTTTGCTAAGCATGGGCAAAACAAATGCTTCAGTTTTTCCTGTCCCAGACTGTGATTGAGCTATCATATTTTTTGGTCTAAACATCAAACAAAAAAGCAAACATTTATACAATTGCCACTTGATACCCACCAAGACACCTTCCAAACATGTTGTGCCTTTATAACATGGAGGGGAGGTTTGTGTGCCGTGATGACCCTGAAAACTACACTGTATGGTGGTTTGGACTTCACATCTTGGTGGGTTCCAACTGTGTTGGGCAGGTTTTGGGTGAAAGGCCAGGCCCCAGTTGTTTAAAAGTTGGATAGCACTAGCCATCGGATAAATCACTATCCAGTTGATACATGTTAGGCAAACCAATAATATTGTGCTATCCAGTGGATAGTGTTATCTACCTTTTGAACAACTGGGGCCAGATGAATAAAATTGCAATGCCTAGCCCCAACAGGTTGGGAGTTGAGGAGTGAGTTAATGTCTCATTCCCATAAAAAATATTACTGATACCAAACACACTTTTCAAGGACAAGTCAGAGGCCTTATGCATAATGGAGTGTGAAGAGGAGAGTCAAGGTAAGTACCCACAGAGAAAAGAAATTTATTCATGATTAATGTTTTATCTCACTTAATATGGCACACTGAATTATAATAATATTTCAGATTAAATTATTCTGGTTATATGGTTTTACTAGTCCAGCAGTGTTGATTATGTGAAGACTGTGGACACTATTATAAAATTAATCATAACTATAACAAAATTGTCAAATCTGATTGGCTCTCAACTGCCCTGATTTCAGCCTTAATTGGACAGTTTGATAGGACAGTACGCGTCATGCCTAAGTAATTGGACAGTATGTGCCATCAAGCGCGCGCTTAAATGGCATTTTTTTTTCACTGCTAGCAAAACAAAATTTCGAATTTCTTGCGTTTTGGTTTAAAAAATAGCCTATTGTATCACAAGTTTTGTTAAAGTTATGATTAATTGGTAACAGAACTTCGTGTCGTCCAATTCAGTCTGTAATCATACTCGTGATTAAACAAATCGGACTCCCGCTACGCGGTCGTCCGATTTTGTTAATCACTCGTATGATTACAGACCGAATTGGACTCCACTCAGTCCTGTTACCATTACTAATCATAACTATAACAAAATTGTCAAATCTGATTGGCTATCAACTGCCCTGATTTCAGCCTTAATTGGACAGTTTAATAGGACAGTGCGCGTCATGCCTAAGTAATTGGACAGTACGCGCCATCACGCGCGCGCTTAAATGGCTTTTTTTTTCACTGCTAGCAAAACAAAATTTTGAATTTCTTGTGTTTTGATTTAAAAAATAGCCTATTATATCATAAATTTTGTTAAAGTTCTGATTAATTGGTAACAGAACTCCGTGTCGTCCAATTCGGTCTGTAATCATACTCGTGATTAAACAAATCGGTCTCCCGCTACGCGGTCGTCCGATTTTGTTAATCACTCGTATGATTACAGACCGAATTGGACTCCACTCAGTCCTGTTACCATTACTAATCATAACTATAACAAAATTGTCAAACCTGATTGGCTATCAACTACCCTGATTTCAGCCTTAATTGGACAGTTTGATAGGACAGTATGCGTCATGCCTAAGTAATTGGACAGTACGCGCCATCACGCGCGCACTTAAATGGCTTTTTTTTTCACTGCTAGCAAAACAAAATTTTGAATTTCTTGTGTTTTGATTTAAAAAATAGCCTATTATATCATAAATTTTGTTAAAGTTCTGATTAATTGGTAACAGAACTCCGTGTCGTCCAATTCGGTCTGTAATCATACTCGTGATTAAACAAATCGGTCTCCCGCTACGCGGTCGTCCGATTTTGTTAATCACTTGTCTGATTACAGACCGAACTGGACTCCACTCAGTCCTGTTACCATTACTAATCCAAGGGATTAAGCATGCAGTAACTCACGGATCAGCTAATAGCATGGGTAGTGCTGTTTCCTGAATCTTGGGTAGTTTGTTAAAACCCATATCATGAACACCACGACGGAGTTGTTCTGACCTAATAAAAATTACAACACAGATTTTATTATTTTATGATAATAACAATAGTCACTGATAAACCTTTGAAATTTAAAATCCTTTCATGTCAGGAGGAAAAGAAATAGAATGGTGGTCAGTACTTACAGTGGTAATTCCTCAAATGACTTGACAGGGTACAAAGGTGAACTTGGGTCAATTCTCTGTACCTCAACCTCATTCTTGGTCTTAACAAGTTTACTTCTCAACAGTTTCATCAAAAAAGAAGCATCTGCAAGGTCTGTAGCCTTAGTCTGCTCTGTGGAAGAAAGACAATGCCAGTATGGGGTTTTAGTATTGATAAAAGTATAAATAATGGTACTAAGGAGTGAGTGGAATCCAATTCAGTCTGTAATCATACAAGACAAAGTGATTAACAAAATCGGACGACTGCATAGCATGAGTCCAGCTTGTTTAATCACGAGTATGATTACAGACCACATTGGACAACAAAAAGTTCTGTAACTAATTAATCATAACTATAACAAAGTTTGTGAGATTTGGTCCTTTTTTAAAATTACAAGAAAACACAAGAAATTACGACAGCTTTTTCTAGAAGTTAAAAAAAAAGCCATTGCCAATGGCAGGTATTGTCAAATTACTTAGGCGTGACGCATACTGTCCTATTACACCAGGGCTCAAAGTGAGCGACTAACTGGTCGCATATGCGACTGGATTTTTAGTTGTGCGCCTAAAAATTCATGTGTAGTCGCACCTGTGCGCCGTAAAACCCAAAGCACAGTGCGACTGACTTACTTCCGACTATACTTACGAACTCGAACTAGAAAGACGGTGTATGTTTAATTGGTCTTTTCTCCCAATGGATTCTACGAACTTGAATGTTCTTTTTCGTTTCGATGTTTTACTCCATCCCAGACTCTTCTGTTTTGTGATAAACACCGCTGACAAATGCAAATATATGCTACGAACGAAACACATACTTTTTGGGCAACGGACGATCATGTCGAACGTTCAGTTTTAACGTCAATCAAAACAAAAACAGTGCGGATTAAGAGCCTTTTTTCCAGGTAAGAAAGTTTTTAAAGTCGCATTCTAGTTACGTGTAAGTCGTTGCGCATTTAACAGATTCATTAAAGGTTAATTTTCATTCTCGTTCGACACACTCATTGTTGTCAGTTTTGAATTGTTTTTCAAGTGTAAGTTTTCTTTAGACACAACTGTACCGTCAAAAAGAGAAATTAGTCTTAAAAATCACAACGGTATTACTGCGTAGCAAATCGGCTGTGTTTTATCAATCACAGAAACAAACCGAAGATGACAAATAAACGTGGCACTGTTAAGCTTTTTACTTTTTCTTTTGAAATAGATGCTCCCAACATTATAAGCTATGCTCCTAAAATTTTCAGCTGTGTGCCTAGAATTTCGGCAGTGCGCCTAAAAATTTAAATCTGGTAGCACAAGTGCTCCCAAACTCAAATTTAAACTTTGAGCCCCGTACACTGTCCTGTTAGTGCTGAAATCAGGACAGGTGATAGCCAATCAGGACAGTTGATAGCTATGATTAGTATAAATAATAATATTATTACAAAATATGTCACTGAGCACTGAGCTTGCATTTTATTTGTACCATTATCCTCTTCCTCTGTATTAGCTTGCTTCTGCTCAGTTGGTGTAGTAGTACTTGTGTTACTCAAGTTATCAACCTGCAAATAGTGAATAAATATATGAAAGTCAAAAGGGGTGCTAGTAGTAGCCTGAGAAAAAAGCCAAGATTTTGGGCCAACATCACTGTTTTCCACGTTACTGGGGAATGAGTGCAGAAATTCCATACTAATGATGTGTCACTACCCAGATATGGGCAATGCTTCTGATTTGTTGTGCTGCAAGGGAAATTTACATTAACCAATCAGAATCACTACCCAAATCTGGTTAGTGAACTGCCATCTGTCTAGAGTTTCTGCCCTTGTTCCTCAGAGGTCATTTCCTGGGAAAACCAGTGGTCGCATCACTAAATGTCATTGAATTGTTGGCTTTTTTCTCAGGTAAATCTCCCAACAATACTACTCTTAACGATCATTTACATGGCCACGTGGAAATACAAAATTTCTCTTCAAGTGTTGAAAACATTTCCAGGTGGGCAAAGTGAAGCTCAAGTGTGAAATATTTTCAAAAGTCTAAGAATAATTTTGTATCTCTAAGCCACCAAGTTATGTTATATTTACTGCATAAACCCCAATGAAATTCACTTAAACAGTTTTTTTTGCTGCGAAGGGTGTGATTTATCATGTAGCCATATCAACAGCGATCTTTTCACATGTGAAGAAAACATGAAATTTTTCACACGTGTAGATATCATGTTTTTGCACAAAAGTTCGCCTGGTATTTCATTGGTGTTCATATGTATACATACAATGTATTAATATGTTTGCACTATTGATTGCTTTATTCAAAAATGCTACCCAAAAGGAGACAAGTGATGCACTGAACAATGGTAGAATTTCTTGTGATTTATGTCTCATTTTCATTTAAAAATGAAAATGCTTTCATGAAAATGCAGAAGTGGAGAAATAAACATAGAAGAACAGTCATGAGATGAAGTGAAACTTTACAATGTTCTACAGTTACGTTCAAGATTTAAAAAATTATAGTTAATTTACCTCTCTGCTCTTTCAGAATCACTTTTATGTGTCATTGAAAGTCACAGTCAAACCCATATACAACCTATTCTGGTGCTGAATTTAATAAAAACAGTAATCAGTGTTAAGAAAAGTGTTTAAACTCACTCTTGCTTCACAGAAGTGTCTCCCCTCTTGGGGGTCAAAGCTTTTGCCACAGTCCTCACAGTTATGGCTAGGGATCTTTCCATTGCCTTCTCTGTTCTACAAGAAGGAAATAGAGTGAAAAATTAATATGTTCTCAAAATGTGATACACTTTCTCTTAATTATGAAAAAGAAAAACTGAAGATAATTTTATGCTGCTGCGTTGATCTACTATAAATTATCTTCAGCCACCAATCAGCCTAGTTTACAGAAATTCACCAGTACTAGATTTTAAGCTCAAGAAGCATAAGTAGCCCAAGATCATGACTGATAGTTTCCCCAAGTCCTTCAATTCCACCACCTGTATACCTTTAGTAACAACTAATGACCAGGTGACCATCAGTGTGACTGGATCTATTTTGAGTAGATTGGTCTGCGTTACTATTCTATTAATAAAGTCCTTGAGACCTATATATAAGGGACTCAAGGGCACCTCTATTTTGACCACAATTCAATGGTCATTTTTCATCAGGTGAATACAAAAATCATACCAATAATGTAATGGGCTGCTGGCAAGAGCATTTGTGGTGGGCAGCCCGGCCAGCTCTACGACAATTCTTAGAGTGGCAGTACAAACAACCATAATAATTCATGCAGCACAAGAAATAAAATCTGCCATCCTGTAGATCTGCATTGACTGTTTCTTGGATGGGTGCAGCTCCCTGTGCTCTTGCTGACTGTTCCACCCTTTCTTGTAACACCCTCTCCAAGAGAATAAACCTTCCTGCAATATTACACAGGCCACCATTGGTTGCATTTTTGGACACAAGACAAAGATAAACATGTTCTTATAGGGTGCCAAACATGACATGTTTTGCCATTGAAGCAAACTGTCTTTACGTAAGTATATAAAAGGGTTGGGGTTTTACTAGTTGAAGTATATAAAAGGATAGGCAAATCTGCCATTTGGGTGAAAGGGCCCAAAAGGGCTAACAGATGAATTTTATGGCTTTATAAAGTCAAAAAAATTCTGTTTTTGTGATTGATTCGTACTTAAAAGACAGTGCATTTACAGCAGTTACAAGGGATGCAAAATTCTGGACAAGGTGTGTGAAAGTGGTGCCATTTGCTAACAAAAGGAATAGAAAAGGGATGTCTTTTAACTATAAAAAAACTGTATATAAAAAGTACAGTAGGTAAAGGAAAGCAAGAGGGGGAAACCGAATTTCCATCAAAAAACTGCCCTCCAAAACTAAATGATATTTTACCATCAAAATTCAATATCTAATATATAACAGCTGTACATTAAATGTATATAAGAAAAAAAGAAAGAAACAAGAGGAACTACTTCAATAAATTAACGAAAAACGAAAATCCACATAATTATAGTAAGTTTGACAAATTTGTAAAAAGACCTAAAACTCCCATATTGAAGTGAACAAGGTTGACAGAAAAGGTTAATAGTTAACAAAAATAAAAAATATAGTACCATGTATGTCAGAAGTGTTTGAACTTGATGATTCTGATGACAATTCTGTTTCCACTGCAGTTATAACACCATAATCATCTGATCCTTAAAGAAGAAATGGATACATTGTACGATAAATACAATCTTACTGCTTAATCTCAAAATCCATTCTGTTGAATGTCAGAAAAAAACGAGGCGTTACAAATCGATAATTTCGATACTCGATAAAATCGATTGTAATCGATAATTTTCGATACTAATTACTTGATTAATATCGAAAATCGATAGAAATCGATAGCGGAGGTTTTTGTGATTATCGATTTTGATCGATTTTATCGATTTCTGTAATTATAGTTCGATTTTAATCGATTTCTATCGATTTCTATCAAAAATATCGATTTCGTCAATGGAACTCAGACAAAGAAGAAGACAGAGCTTAAAAGCAAGGAACAAAAGGCAAATGGATATCGTAAGGCCAAAAAACGGGAAATAGTACCCGTTCTTGATATTTCCTGTCAAGGAAACGACGATAAAAGACTGAAAGCAGTTAAAAGACCGGTATAGGCAGTTAAGGACGGACGAGACGTAAAGTTAACCCTAGCCGGTCTTAAACCGCATGCGGTTTGTCGGTGGCTTCAACGTACTGTACTCTGGAGTTAACACATACGCTTTCTTTATCCCACACCTTGAGTCGATAATATAAAATACCTTTAATCAGCCTTAATGTACTGTAAACAAACTACAAAGGTTTTTAAAACTGTAATAATAATGCACTTGTCGCTAGACTCAAAAATTGAAACATGCTCAACGATAACGAGAGAAAAAAAACGCAAAAACGATGCTCGTTCAGTTTTAGGTAAACCAACTTTGTTACGCGTAGACGAGTAAATAGAGACCTTTAGATTGGACTACGAGTACGAGATTGAGTACGAGTACGAGTTTTCAAACCAAATTCAACCCTGTTGGAATAAGGAATAACACTGAGCATTAATAAGAGGATTAATTGTACAGTGTGCTGTTATCGCACTGCGAATGAAGTGGGTTCGTGGTCTGGGAAGTTTTCTTGTTCACGTGTTCACTCTTAATCACGTGACCTTTCACCATCATCTGCTATCACATACCACGCGTACTACCCACAAACCTTAAACCGGAAACCTGGAAATCCAATGTTTATCCGCTGATTAACTCACCAAAGCCGATTTATGTTAAATATCAGCCATAGAACGCACAGAAAGCAACATTCAGCTTATGCAGAAATGAAATTCATTCCAAGATTGACTCAATTCAACATGGTTTTTGTTGTAGCAGTACGCCACGTTTACCAGCGTAAACAATTCCACTGGTGTTCTTACGCCGCTTACACAGTGTGCTGTCGTTTTCGTCCGAGCTACGAGTCTAAAAACTCAGAAAAATTGCTTCAAATGCGAATGAGTTATCTGGTTATCACAGATTATCGCCAAGACTGGAAGAGGTTTTGACGTTCAGTTTTCGGTAAGAAAGAAAAAAGTTCCTTGATTCTAAATTGACTTGATATAATTTTTTTTTCAATGTCCTCAATCGACCGGATAAATCGATAAAATCGATAATCTCGGTCTAAGTCTTGTGATTATCGATTTCTATCGATTATTTTAGCTAATCGATTAACAATTATCGAGTATTATCGAGTAATATCGAGTAATCGATTAGTTTTCGATGATCGATTTCTATCGATTTGTAACGCCCTGAAAAAAAGGAAAGTTCAAAGTCCAGGTCCATCCAACTATCATCTACCTTATATCCATTTCTTTAAATTGCAAGTAAATAAAGGGCAAGTTTTAGGGGTCTAATTTTCTATTAAAGTACGATCTTTGCCCTTCTTTTCCATTAAAGTGATTACAGCCTGCCCTTGGGAATTAGACATTTCTTCTTAAAGATAAAGTAACAAGAGCGTCAACAAGAAGAATCCTAAATTAACGGACTAATAAAACGGTAAAATAAGCTCACCCTGGTGTCTGAACATCATAACGGCACTATAAGAAATATAAAATGTGTAAACAAACAGGAATAAGGCGAATTGGAAACACAAAATCAGAAAGAGAAATACATAAAGCTGCATCGAAGCGGGAAATTACTGTGACTTGTGACACGAGCACTCGGTTACATGAGAAAGGAAAACCGTACAAGAAGAATAACACGTTACCTAGAAGATTGCGGCAAGATTACAAAGCGATGGCACTACTTACCGATAAAAAAATGAGATGAAGAAATTCCGAAAAAGCGAAACAATTTATGACAGCCACATGGCGAATGCTTCGAGATTTGAGTAGATACTTGATGTATGGGGACATATATAGGTAACACAAAGTCAGTACAATATATGCCCCATACATGAATCACCTACCGACATCTCTTTAAAGCATACCGCTGACCAAATGTTTAATACCACATTTTATCATTTTATTACAGTTCCCCCAAATGAAGTGTATTTCCATGATATTAACATCAAACTGTTCGGAATCGTGTAATAAAAACGTTTTAAGCAAAAATCTGGTCTTAAGGCGCAAAGTAAAGAATTTTGGAATGGCGAGTGTAGCGTGCGTGACATGGATGCCGATCCACGGGCGTTTTTAAGGCGGGCAAATTCGAGAAAGAAATTTTGTTACAGTTCCCCCTGAAATGAAATGTATTTCTATGATATCAATATCAAACTATTCGGAATCGTGTAATAGAAACGATTAAAGCAAAAATCTGGTTATCCGAAGGCGCAACTGTGAAGAATTTAGGAGTGACGAGTGCAGCGTGTGTGACATCCTATAGGATGCCGATCCACGGGCGTTTTTAAGGCGCGCAAAATTCGAGAAAGAAGTTTTATTACAGTTCCCCCTGAAATGAAATGTTCGGAATCGTGTAATGGAAACTTTTTAAGCAAAAATCTGGTCTTCCAAGGGCGCAAAGTAAAGAATTTGGGAATGGCGAGTGCAGCGTGCGTGACATCCCATAGGATGTTGATCCACGGGCGGTTCGTAATCGTATGAGCAAAAAAACTGATCTTCCGAAGGCGCAAAGTTAAGAATTCTTGAATGCACCATTTCAAATACACCATAATGCACCTTGTTTACCCCTCAAAATTTTGCATAACCTTCGCCTTACATTTCTCTTGGGACGACTTTGATACCCAGGAGAAATTGGAAACAATGGTTGTGCAAAATTTTGGGCCTTAAACAAGGTGCATTATGGTCTATGAGAAATGGCGAATTCAAGAATCCATCCAGGGTCACGTCATTTTTCAGGGGCACCCAACGGGAAATTTTGAGAAAAAGACCTAAAAGCAACAACAGAGCATGAATAAAGTTCTTTCCAGCAATGCGTAGTTGCCACAATATTCCATGACAAATACAATAAAACTCACAAGTAAGATCCTACATTTTCTCACTGAGTTAGCCTTAGCAGATTCCTTATTTGACATCTGCATACCAAGAAGAAGAACTGAATTGGTGACTTGTCCAATTACACTCAGTTCTAACAGTTTTACATTCTAGGCACCTATGTCTCCAACAAGTTTCCTCAATGTTGACTTATCTTATTTGCCCAAGAGTACAGAATTTCTTTTATAGATTTTAGAGAATTAATAAAAACCTCTTTCAAATGTTAGCCTAACAGGTTCTTAAAACTCAGGTTCGTAGTCGCACGGGTTTTAGCGAAAACACACACTAATTTATACATTAACTCATTGATGTGCCCGCGGAATATTTCCAAGTTATTAGAAAGTGGGATGCAAGTAGGAACAAAACTGCCTTTTTGAAACACAATGCTTTCATGGCAGTTCGTCGCATTAGTCAAAGAGATGGGATCTAGGGGTCAAAAATGCCTATTTGGCCCGCATTTCATGCAAACTGGTGGAAATACACTTATTTCACAGCAACTCATACAGTAATTTTTAGGGAGTTATTACAACTCCAAAAATGGAGTAAAAATGTTTAGTACAGGATAACCCCTTTTATGAGGTTACTTTAACTGCAAATTTGGGGTCATTTTTACTCCTAAACAGGAGTTCTTTTAACCCCCAGTCTGGATTTAAAATAACTCCGGAAATGGGGTTATTTTTACTCCTTGCTTGGGTTGTTTTTACTCTTTTTGGAGTTTAACTTTAACTCTGTTCAAGTGGAGTAAAAATTTTAGGTACTGGATAAATCCTTTTTTGGGATTATTTTAACTCCTAAATATCCGGGGTGATTTTTACTCCTGAAAAAGAGTTCTTTAAACTCCTTTTTGGAGTTTAAAAAAAAAAACTCCTCCCCCCCCGCTCCAAAATAAAAAAACACTCTACTGTAAGGAGTTAAATTAACCCCAATAGCTTCAGGAGTTATTATAACTCCTTGAAAATTACTGTGCATGGAACTGCCGGACTATATCGCTTTTTTTTTTGAAAAATTGAAGATCTCAGCCATTCTCAGGGCCAGAATTCGAAATGCGTATTTGCCATATTTGCCATTCCAAAAATTCTAGAGGGAACATCTGATTTCACAGCAGCTCATCGAAGTCCCGAGTTATTTCGCGATTATTAGATGATGGGATCCAAGGACCCAAAAATGCAAATTTAGCCCTATATTTCATGGAAACTAGAGGAAAGGCCCTGATTTCGCAGCACTTCATCGAAGTAACGGACTATGTTTCACTCATATAAAATACAATAATTTCACAGCAACCAACACTGGAAAAACAATGCATTCAAGTGCTGAACTATATTTCGCATTTATTGAATACTTAGAAATTAGGATGAAAAAGGCGTTTTTGGCACTATATTTTCTGCAAACTATATTGATCAGCGTGACATACACTACTTATTACGAAGCAATTTATTCAAGTCCTGGGCTATAAAAATCCGTAGTGGCCCACACTCCAAATTGAAGGCCGACCAAAATCCTGCATATTTACCGGGATATTCAATGAAAAATAGTAGGAAACACTCATTTCACCGCAACCCGTTCATAGGTGGGGATTTTCCCGTGCATCAAGAATGGGATCTGCGGGTCAGAGATGAGTATTTGCCATATAATGTCTCCTACATGTTTGCACAAAAACGCTGATTTCACAGCAATTCATTCAAGTGCTGGTCTATTTCTCATTCATTATAAAATTGAATCAAGGAACCAAAAAATGCGTATTTGGCCCTAATATGTCATGTAATCTGGAGATTACACCCTCATTTCAAGGCAGCTCATCCGAAGCGCCGAACTAGGGACGCATGAAGAAGGCCTAAATGTAATAAACTACCCTAAATATAATAAAGTCCTACAGTATAATAACAATTTGTCCTAAATGTAATAACATTTTGCCCTAAATGTAATAAACTCTTAAGATTCACTCGAATAAGCATCGCTCTAAAACCAGCGTACCAATTGTTAATAAAAGTTAATAAGCGCCGCGACGCTTATTCGCGCGCGTAAAAACGGTTCATTACCAATTACCATACCGTAAAATTCCGAAAATAAGGCCCTCCATGTATAAGCCCCTCCAAATATAAGCCCAAATTTTAATGCATCGTGTTTGTGCGAGTTTTTCAGGGAAGACGCGAGTAAACGTGAACAAGTCTTGGCACTAATGTAAAGCCGCCAATAGTCTTTAATTGAAATGGTCAAAATGTAATTTTTAACACGTATCGTGTCTTTCCTGAAAAAACGTCTTCCATGAGAAACAAGTTAGACTATGAGTAATTTTCATTGCCTTCAGCGACAAAAAAAACACAGCAGCGCGCGTCACTCACGAGGAAGGTGACACGCGGAGGGAAGAACACCAGTCTTACTTCTTGGTGTCACGTTCTTCGCAGATGGCAATTTTCCCGCGCACTCGCGTATTTAGCCCACCCTGACTCGCTTTATTATCAATGAGAATAATAAGCTCGAGGGAGTACTCATGGTCGAAATCAAAATTCGCCCTTTTAGTTTTTTAGATAAAGGAAAAATTCTTATAATCCTCCTCAGTACTTGTATACAACATCCTTTCGGGGTGTTCACTTATTTTAGAGATAAAAACACCACACCTGTGATTGTTCTTAGCATTTAAAAGTTTAATCAGCGATTATTTGCAAAGCCGATTATAACTTCTGCCTGCAATTATTCTAATCTTATAGCTTTATAGGCAGAATAGGAAGATACCGACGGCCGGTAAAATATGCGTTGAGCTCGACAGATGAGTTTTTTCTTAGCATTGCACAGAAATGGCCGCGCTTTTTGCACAATTTAAGGTAAAATCTGTTTATCACCAAACACCCGAGGTGCTCTTAAGAGAACTAATTCAACAAGTGTATACTCCAGTTCCAGTTACATGGAGTTTAGAAGTGTTGGTTAGTGGCCTGGCTGAATAAAATGGTCTTATGATATTTTACGTATCCTTGGCCGAGTAAGTGCTAAGCACACGCCCGCCCCTTTTTTAATGGTAAAAAAGGATTTTTTCTTTGAAAAAAAAGAAAAAAAAATGAAAGCCTTATTTTGGCTTCAGTATATAGCACCATAGGAACTCAAGTCTGTCGTGAAGTACGCAACAACTGTAAAAATACAAAAACCTCAATGTTGTCCTATTCGAAACTGAAAGACAACCAGTGCTTCTCTCAAAACCAATTGTACCTTTTTTTGATATTCACACTAATGAGCAGATCATTACTAGATTCGATATCATTATTTGTTGCCGTTATTTCTTGAAAAATGCCATCTCAGATATAAAAGGCTTGAGTCAATTTTCAACCAAAGAAGGACTAGGCCGGATATGATGAGTGGAACTTTTTTTTGCAGAAAATTCCATCCTCGTTTGAATACCAAACATCGTGACTAAAAAGGCATTTATCACGAAACGTCCTCAGACAAACAGTTAATTGATTTTTCCTTCATTTGATATTCGTACCATGGTAGCACAAGTCCATTTTCGAGCATGCCACAATTGCTGTTGAAGGCTAAGCTAAGGCTATGTTCATTATACTGGATAGCTTTCTCCCCAGCATGAAAACCAAACCGGATCAGGGTTCCGTTCACACATACGAACTGTGATTTCGGCGCGATTTCTCAACGGAGCGTAGAACCGTCGCGCAGATCTAAGTGGAGAGTCACATATCACATATCGAATAGGCGTTCATGCTATACCGGATAGATTTTAGTGTTAGACCGAAAAGCTAACCGGTATGGTTCGTGCATAGCCTAAGATGAATTGGACGAATTAATTTGTTTGTAGTATCAAATAAAAAAATGAACTGGCGGTATTTTGCTGGTAAGCACTTCTGGTTAATAGATATCAATGATTTCTGTGAAGTCTTAGAATAATAATGGTATAATCAGTTCTGCAGTCCTCAAATTTTGATTCTGTGAACATGTGAGCAACACTTCGAAAAACTGTAACACTGCTTTAAAATCATTTAACACAGCGCAAACTTTTGTCATTTGTTATAGCTACATTTGGTTTTACAACGAAAATAAAGAAACAAATTTATTCTAAAAAGAAAAGAGGAAAAAAAAAAATAAAAGGAAGCGAGTTTTTAAGGAATGGGGATCATGATTTTCCGTCTTGAAATAGGAAGACAGTTGTTCTAGTACTCGGTCTATTTGTTAAGGACTTGCATTTTCATATCTTTTCTTATTGTGTTGCCCCTGGAAAAAAATTGCCCGTGTCCTCGTTAAGAAATGTGTGGAAATTGGAGTTGCACTTCATTGAAAATTAAACTCTTACAGAGAATAACCGTTATTCTTCGAAAGAGATTAATTTTTAATGAAGTGCAGCTTCATTTTTCCAATTATTGTTTAACGGAGATGCTGAGTTGAAGACCGCAGCAATTACAGGCGGTGGGGCGGCTCCCAATCCCAATCCCAATCCAAACCCCAATCCCCCCTCTGGCGGAAATAAGGAGGGGGAGGGGTATTCGGCGGGCAACAGCAAGTGCAAGCAAGACATGCCTCCAGCTTTGGATGCCATCGATAGAGAAGTGCGTGTTTTCGCAGAAGAAGAGAAAGAGATTGAGGGACAGGAAATGACCAGGACAGAGGAGATTGGAGTCATTGTGGTGGAGAAAGAGATACAGGCTTCACAGTAAACATGCAAAGTTATCATGGACAATGTGAAGTTGGAAAAAAGGGCTGTATCTTTTGTTGCTTGGGATTTGAAATCAAAATAGATTTGAAATCAAAATATAGAATTAATTCCGACAAACGTTTTTCCCTAAGGTTTTCCCTGAGACTTTCATGTGCACACTAGATATATTATTTGAACTAATTGTCCTTTTGCGAGATTAAAAAGATTTCAACGTCAACGAAATATTTGCATATAGGTGGCGCTTGTTCCAAAGGATGAACAAAGAATTCTTTAAAAGTTCATTTGAAAAAATTGAAGATATGTTGTGCCATAAAATATTTCTCCATATTTGTAGCTTTCTCAAAAGATATTTCAATTGTTTGACAAGTTGATATCCGTGTTACCGACAAGTGGGAAATCCAACAGGAATAACTGAAATTAAAGGAAAAAAACACAGAATTGTACACAACTGCTAGTATGACTCAACCTCGATGTCCTTTTGCCCATTTTAAGTTAAATTTTAAGGGAGCACTTTGCGGATAAAATGTTTTAAAAACAAATAAAAAAGAATAAAGATGCTACTAAGATAAGAAAATCACTTCTTTTGACCTTCAAGTTTCAAATGAATGTATGTTTGCGAGGCAGGATGTGTAGGAAAACACTAACCTGTTTCTTCATCTAGTTTCTATCCCGATCGACTTGCAATTACGCAATAGGATCGAGAAGCCAAAACATCTGCAAAGGTCACAGGCGTTCCTCGTAATATAGCCGGCAAAGCTGGCCTATTTTGCATTGAATTAGGGCAAGTCAAAAGATTAATCCAAGAACGAGGTTGACGGGTCAATTGCTTTCAAGATGGCGGCCGCGGTACCTGTAAGCTTTCGTTTAAAAAAACGCCAAGCTACTCGTATTTTATTCAGAGGGATTCGATTTACCATTAAGAGTAAACAGCTTTGAAATGTTTTGCGCTCAAGCAATTATATGTTGACAAATGTCCCAATTAAAACTGTGGTCCCAAAAGTAAAAGGGATAAAGCAAATATCCAAAGAAGAAAAAATGAAATCAATAAAATATATATAAAAACAAAAAAAATAATGGGAAAACAATCTCGTTCCCAGATGTCTCGTCAACGAAGCCGACAAGCCGACAAGCGATCTGAGTAAGAGATAAGAGGGAGCTTAAGCAAAGACGTTTTTGAGCTACGCACGTCAACCGGAAGTGAGGCCTTCTCCCTTTTTATCTGCCTTGACGCTAACAAATTTGTATTGCTAAGTGTCTTTTCTCTTATAAAGACAATTTACACGAGAGTTTCAACCAAACCACTGCTCACTGATGTAAAAAGTCCACTTCCCGTTGACGTCCGTCGCTCAAAAACGCTATTTCTTAAGCTCCCTAAGAAGGAAAAATAAGGACGTCTGCGCGAAGCCAAGCAGGAGAGGGAGTGTGGTATTTCATAGAGGAGAAAGGTTGGAAGCAACAAAATGCAGCGTCGGATACAGACCTTGAGATAAGGGGGGCCCCCGGTCATCCAGACCCTTAGATAAGGGGGGGGGGGGCGGTCATCCAGACCCTTAGATATTCTCTTCGGGCCTCAGTTTGGTCTAAAAATAAGGAGGGGGGGGGGGGGGGGCGGCTGGATCCGCCACTGAAATATACATGTCGATTTTCAACGACATCGACGTCCTCCATTAAAATTTAAGAAATTGGTCGGCAAAAACTGGAAATCGGACAAAATGGGCCAACAGTACAAGTTTCTTCACCAGAGTACAGCCTTTACTTTATTTCTGGATAGACTACATTACAGCAAAAACAAAGAACCAGCTATTTAGGCAGAATCCTGCACAAACACAAGGAAGTGTAACAATTTCCAACGAGAAAAAAACTTCTTGTAATCAAGAGCTGAGAATTATGAACCATTCCATTCCCTTGGGAGCTAGCTATAATTCAAGAATAATTCAAACTTTCGTTGAGTGAAATACTTGAAAAAAAAAAAGCACAATAAAAGGTCATACTTGAGAGGTTCTGATTGAAAAGTGAAACACTACGATTTGTCTCACAGACTCAAAACCTAGCACAGCTTATTACTAACATCTCACCACAAGTCCATTTAAAAGGAAAATAGCTCACTCCGGAAAAGAGTGATAGCCTGGGACCCAAACTAAGCGCGCGAACATTTATGGGATTTTTGGGGGACAAGTCGAGCATTCACCTTGAATTATGACGAGACATGCAACTTGTTGTGTGCCTTTGTGTACAAATAACTTCAGCAACTCCCCTGAAACATTCCACTTCGCTTTCCGCCATGTTCGTTTACATTCGCGTCCCCCCAAATAATCCCATAAATGGGTGCGCGCATAGTTTCGGTCCCAGGCTATCACTCTTTTCCGAAGTGAGCTATTGTATCAAACCAGATGAAGAACACTTCCAAGTGTTTGATATTGCTTCTAAAGCTATTCAAAAGCACAACTTTACATTACATTACATTTTTGTTTTATTGTGGTGGAACCACATATCTAAATAACCCACACACTTAAATTACCTATGATTGTCTCCAAAGGCGATCCTTATCTTATTTACCAAAGTGTACAGGTCTTTTTTTTAGAGATTTTAGAAAATTAATAAGAACCTGTTTCAAATTTTAAACTAAACAGGTTCTTGTATAGAGGGCGATTAAATGGAAAATTTTAGCCAAACAGGTTTTTACACTTCCAGGTTCTATGTCATGGGTTTTAACTGTATCATATACTTAAAGATTTTTTTCCGTTTTTTTGTTTTCATAAGTAAATACAGGTTGGTATAAAAATGTCAAAATGTACTACACTGGGAAGGCTACTTCCAATCCCAGCTTAGGGCGCTTTCCATTTGTCAGGACTGGCCAGCTGGACGTTTGCTGAACCTGTCGTTTTAAAAATGAAATAGGCTTTTTCCAATACTTTTGCTGAAGAACTATCCCTTTCATGCATACTATTTAGGATTTGACTGATCTAGCTGGATAGTTTAGACTGAAAGTGAAATCCTCATTACCATGGGAATGGTCTGGCCAGTCAGTTTTGACAAATGAAAAGCCACCTAAGACTGACAGGGATAAAAACTATCGACGAAAAAGGCATGTGAATTGAAACTGCATACTACTAGTGAGAAAAATAAATACAGTTCAGCATAAAAAAAAACATCAAGTTGTACTAGACTGGGAAGGCTTCTTTCAAGCCAACTGTCGAAAAAAAAAGGTGTGTGGTCCTAAGATCAGAATAAGCCACTAACTGAACAATAACATCAATCAAATAATATCAGAAACTCTCTGATATTAGTAAAATCCAACTAGTGGTCTATTATCAATGCTGCATTCTGATTGCCTACTTCTAGGCTATATGTTATAACCCCCTAGTAGCCTAATTCCAATTTTTCAATGTGATCCACATCATCACACTGCAAGGGCAATATATGCTTGCTAAAATGCTCTTCCATTTTCGTTATGATCGTCATAGACTGCTGACCATCAATGAAGTTGACGGCAATGCTGTTCTTGCCAAACCGGCCAGTCTTGCCGATCCTGTGTAAGTATGTTTTGTACTCAGGTTCACCTGAGGGCCCAACTGGCATATCGTAATTAACTACGATGGTAACCTATAGCAACAAAACAAAAAATAAAACAACATTGTATTACTAAGGGCACTGGCTCCACTAGGGAATGGGGAGGGCGGCTATGTAACGAGGGAATCTCTTCTGTGCTCTAGTCATTACGTAGTTTCTTAATCCATACGAAAAATGTTCCTATGGAGTTATGAAGGGAATATCAAACAAATTTCATCAGTGAGCACTGAAATTAATAACCTTTTGGTAGTTTTTGCAGGCATAGAATCAAAATGTCAAAACTGGCCCAATCACTATGGTCTAAAATAGGGTAAGTTAAGGAGCATATTATATACCATACATCCCTACCCAAATTTCTAGGGAGTAATGTACAGTACCTACCCTGGTTCTTGCTTGGAAACAGGGCAAAGAAAAGAAAAAGAAAAAGCGCAAGCTGACGGGAGAAGATAGGAAAGGGGGGAGACCCGGGTTCTCTGTTTGGAACAGGGCAAAGAGAAGGAGAAAAAGTGTAAGCGTATGGGAAAGGGAAGGGGGAGGGGGGAGAGCCAATGATCCTCCGGTTCTTTCCACCCACCACCTGGTTAGCTCAGTTGGGAGAGTGCCGGTCTGTCGAGCAGAAGGTTGCGGGTTCAAACCAGACCAACACGCAGAGTCTTTAAGTAACTGAGAAGAAAGTGCTAC